GAAAATAGATTTCATAAATTGTCTAGTTATGAATTTTTTAAAAGTTCTTTTGGCTCTGGTGTAAACTTGGATTTTTCGAGATACAGCAGTGCCGCTTCCTACCGTAATTTATTCCTGAATAATTTGTGCACTTTTTAAAATCATCGAAGTTTAGTATTATCTTTTTAACAGAGAATATCCGCAATATTGTTTTATGAGTGCACGTGGGGCGTGTTTTCTTGGCAAATTGTAACTAAAGCGAAATGTGTGCATGCATACCTAATAAGCTGTACACATTAGAGATGCGAGTGTCACGTCTCCCTTTCGGATTTTATCTAAGATCGTGTGTATTTGGGAAGTGTAACAATTATGAATCCAAAATAAACAAATACAATTGGACGTAGTTACGCGAAAACGTTCCAACCCACAAGTCACTCGAAAATGAGTTACCATAACCAGGGTACTATTTTTGCCATATTACATCATGTGCACACAAAGATGCTAGTATTTTTAAGTTAGTTTCATCAATAAAGTTTAACCCAAATGTTCCAACCCACCATTATGCCAAGGACGTGTACTCAAAATAAAGTAAAAACATTACATGCATACTGAAACATATTGTTAAAAACTCTTAATAGAATAACATATCGTTATAATGTTCCACTTGTCTTGGAACATTATACTAAATTCATAAAACGCACATTTAATGGTTTCTTAAATGATCCATGTGGGTTGGAACGTTTTTGCAAAATCTTTATACATTTTTTATTTCTGCAAAAATGTTCCATGTAATTTGAAACCCTTTAGATTAATCCATACTGTTTTTTTAAGCTGCGAACACTGTTCTAAATAAATTGAAACCTTTTATTATAATATATTATTTTCATATTTTTTGCTATAAACAATCCACATATACTTGATCCATTTTTGCTATTAAATATGTTCTAGAGAAAAAGATATTTTTTACCAAAATAAATAACTATGGTATATTTGGACGTAGTAACGCGAAAATGTTCCAACCCACAGCAACCCCAATTTGCAATTTACACACTTTTTCCCTGTAATTATTTCAGGCAAATACTATTGGTTTAACTATGGAATGCCAAACTGATTATTGAATGATATGCATATTTTTTGTAAATACATAATACAAGGGGCATATAAATAGGTAAAACGAGTTTGAAATGTTTTTGCTAAATTAATTTTGTATGAACCTTGTTAAATAGCAATTATGCATAAACTTTCCAAAACGAATTTAAGTGTATTATTTTATAAAAATAAACCAAAAAGAAATATGTAAAATAATAAATAACAATGAGGAACATACAAAAACAACAAAAAAATATATTTGAAAATGTATTACAAAAAAATAGAACGTGATCTTTTGAGCTTAGAACCTATGCCAAAAATTTGTTGATATGGTTCCAAAAGTTATCAAAAACTTATATTATAAACATTCAATTTTCATCATCGTATTCTATGATCTCGAAGTCCGGAACTCCACCAAACCCATCAACATCATCAGTGCTTCTTCAGAACTTTGAAGCGTTCTATAAAATTGAAGGCAATCCTCGGGTATGTAGTGGTACATGGATTGTAAGTCCACTAATTTCGCTGGAGCAATCGGTTTGTCGTTAGGCCACAATAAGCAAAAATCAGATTCTTTTATGTATTGCAGTTCTCGTTTTATTCTTTTATCAATTTTCAACTCATTGAAATCGTCTTCCATCGTAGACCGCATAAAAATAGAAAACATTTTATCTTTATCCAACTTAATTTCTTTTGTATGTAGCCAACTAACTTTAGATGAGTCTGTAAACTTCTTCCTATTGATAATCTTCTTTTCCAGTTTAGTTGTACTAAAAAAATCAGTCTTTGTCATTTTGTAAACTTGAAGAGGTTTAACTTTTTTACTTAGTTCTACAATAGTGGTATCCATAGTGCATTTAATGATACTGGGCATTGTTATGTATTGGTAGAAGGAGAGGTAGAAGAGGTGCACAGGAAGTGGATTGCCTTCAATTTTATAGAACGCTTCAAAGTTCTGAAGAAGCACTGATGATGTTGATGGGTTTGGTGGAGTTCCGGACTTCGAGATCATAGAATACGATGATGAAAATTGAATGTTTATAATATAAGTTTTTGATAACTTTTGGAACCATATCAGCAAATTGGCATAGGTTCTAAGCTCAAAAGATCACGTTCTATTTTTTTTGTAATACATTTTCAATTTTTTTTTTGTTGTTTTTGTATGTTCTTCATTGTTATTTATTATTTTACATATTTATTTTAGATATATTTATAAAATAATACACTTAAATTCGTTCTGGAACGTTTATGCACAATTGCTATTTAACAAGGTTCATACAAAATTAAATTTAGCGAAAACGTTTCAAACTCGTTTTACCTATTTATATGCCCCTTGTATTATGTATTTACAAAAAATATGCATATCATTCAATAACCAGTTTGGCATTCCACAGTAACACCAATAGTATTTGCCTGAAATAATTACAGGGAAAAAGTGTACCGCTAAAACACAAAATTGCGTTTATCTCAAAATGGGGTCGCTGTGGGTTGGAACGTTTTCGCGTAACTACGTCCAATTATGAATCCAAAATAAACAAATACGACCTGTTTGTAAGTGTACAAAAATAATAGGGACCCGATGTTTTACATAAACTTCTAGAGCCTACCTATGTCAATATATACCTACAAACACAATCTTTTGATACTTTTAAAAGAGATGTAAGTCTCCCGCCCATGGGTTCGTATTATCGGTCGATAATATCGGATGCGTTATTACGATATTTCGTCATACTTATTTGGCATCGTTATAATCGCAGCAGTGTCTTACTTCGTAGTCGTTCTCATACATAATGCACTTAAAATGCCCTTATCAATCAGCATCCATGCCATCTCAGCTGAGGCAGTTGTGAAGAGCTGGAGATAAATAAATGATTGTCTATCATCCCATAATAGACAGCCATTGCGAAAGTTTCTTAATATCCACGCTAATAGATAAAATGCACTAGCTACTGTCAAATATCGATTTCTCATACCTAGATAATGGAAAATTGCTAATCTGCAGATATATTTTAATTAAAATCACTATAAAACCTAATTAAATTTAATTACAAAAATAATACTTACGGCATTCTTTTAATGGTACACACTTTCCTGTCTTATCCTTTACTTTGCCGTCTTTGCAAACGCACCTAGGTTTGCATGAACATAAAGATATATTTCCACAATTGGGTTTTGGATAACCAACTTCATCACATGTCACGGGTTCACAGGATGCCTCCGGACAATCACAGTATTCTTCGCCAGCCGGGCAGGTTGGAACTTGAAACAATCGAAAAAATCATTGTAGTCCACTGTACTTGTGATTTTAAGGTTTAATAAATCAGGAGCAGTGTGCATAGAAATATAATGAGAATATTATTTAGGTAGGTACTATTCATTGACGCAAATAATGAAGGAAAAGGAATGGACAAAAATATACTATTTACATGTACAAAAAGGTTTTGACAATCAGTCATTGAATGCAGGATGCCGGCACCACCATCTTGCACCCGACAAAGTCCATTCGAGCAGGAAGAAAATACCTCGTTTCCTTTACACGTTGGCGCTTAAATACCATACAATCTGTGTTTGTTTTCAAAAATCAATGTTTTCGTTTTTTAGGATACTGTTTTAGTTGCGAAATTCAGTGAAAAATTAAAAATTTCGTTGTAACAACTTGTGACAGCAATAATATGCAAACAAAAGGAAAAGGCATCTCATGAAACACTTACTGCATTTGTCTGCTGTGACGCATTTTTTTGTTTTGGTATCATAGTAGTAGTTTGGTTTACATTCACATCCATTTATTATATACACTTCTGGGCAAGCCGTCACATTCTTGCCTATATCAGCACAAGTGCGCCCACAGTTGCCACGGTTGCTAGGAATTGCATTCTCGTCACCTCCACATGATGCTAAAAGAGATAACGTGATTTTAATTGGCTCTGTGGTTAAGGTAAATCAGTACTTAGCTATGAAAAGATTCCATTTTAAGGGTAATAATTAATTGACTCAACATTTCTTTCAGATATTAATTATTTCAGATATCCTTGATATTTTAAAAAATGTATTAAATACTAAAAGTCTGTGATTGAGCTAAGCTATGGACAGAGGATAGAGGAACAGCACGAAACAATAAGGGTTCCTTAATAACTTCGGAACCTTATTATGAACCTTATTTACAGAAATTAATAAAAAATGTGTTAGCGCGGTAAATCCGTAAATCTTTCCATTACAGTTGTAACTGTTCCAGAAAAGTTTCCATTTTAAGGTTAATTAATTGACTAAATATTTCTTTCAGATATTAATTATTTTCAGATTATCTATATATCTTTGATATTTTAAAAATGTAGTAAGTTCTAAGAGTCTTTTCTTGAGCTTAGCTATGGACAGAGGACAGAGGAACAGTGCAAAACAATAAGGGTTCCTTAATAACTTCTGACCTTAAAACGGAATATATATAGATTTTAAAGGACATTGGGCAAAAATTTACGGACGCTGCACCCACGTCCGCCACGGTTTAAACTACATTTGTTTGAAAGGTATTATAGTCATGATCATTTGTGCCAAAGCGCATCAAATTCCATCCCGGGGGTCTTCAGTTATTTTAAGTTAAATAGGTACAAATACTATAACGAACGAACATTAATAAAAACAAGGGAATTAATTTAGTTAGTTAGTTCGACCCTACATAGGGGGCTCAGGTATTATGGGAGTACTTCACAAGGTGCAAGGGTGCCTCCTTATGTTATTCTGCCGCGCTAGAGTAAATCCAAAAATCCCCGCATGGTTTGGGGGTATTTTCAAACATTCTGTTCGTTATAGTAAATTGTCTTCTATGTAAAATGGAGCGACCACATATGTGTTGCCCATTGTCCTTTACTTAGAATGTTTTTTATTGTTTTATGTTATTTTTTTATGTAAATTGGATAATTGAAGGTGTTTATACTTACGACACTGATTTGAAGGAATGCATTTTCCAGTCAAATCTCTTAGGCAGGAGTCTTGGCATATGCAACTTGCGTTGCTCGAGCAGGAGGAGCTATTGCTACAGCACGTTTTTGGGTAACCAGCTTCTGCACATGTAAGAGGGCCGCAGATTGCAGCTGGGCAAGCTGAGTATTTTTCGCCTTTTGGACATGTTGCTATAAAGAAAATATTCAAAAAAAAAATGTTAAATTTCATAAATCAACAAACACGACTGCTTAAATATAACTTGAAATAAAAAATGAAAGGCAAATAACAAGTACAGTAGTCTATAATTCTCTTAAGTAAGCAAACAACGCTACTTTAATAGTAGGGAAGCATTATTGAAAAATTTTATCCATTCTCGAATATTAAATGGGTCCCGACTGTTAAAGCAGCTTTGTCCTTACTTAACAGAATTGTAGATTACTGGCCTTGGCTTTTCTTTTCAGTTTTTGTTTGTATAATGCGATTCAACTAAGAATAGGACCTACTGGGCGCTATATTGTGACGTCATAGCTGTCAATTCAAACCAAATAGGTAGAGTGAGCAAAAAAAGTTTTTATTTAAAATTTATTTACTAAGATTAAGTGAGAAATAGCATATTTTTTTTAATAAAATTTATTTACTAACATTGAGGAAAGAAACATCCGATTTTTGATTATATTTATTTATTAAGACTGTGTAAGAAATAACTTAACTCTGCATTACCATTGGAGTAATTTTGAATAATCATGCACTATTACTAGGTCACATACGAACATACATCCTTTATATAAACGAACGTTTTAAGTCGAGTTTCTGAATGCAACTTAAAGTGACATTTGGTTGACGATTTAGGTTATCAACCATTCATAGCCAAAGCTCAATAAATGGAAAAACAATATCAACGAATATTAATTATCAATATTTGTTATTGTTTTTTTACAAATGTTTGGTTTTTATTCTAGAATTATATTAGCAGAGTGCTAAAAAGGGTTTCAAGATTTTTTGCGAACCGTACTTTTTAAGCGACATTTGACAGATGGAGGTCATTGGCTTTCCTATTCTTATTTGAATCGCATTATAGTAATATTTAAGCAGTCGGGTTTATTGACTTTTTAATTTTAATTTTTTTTTCAGACAATATTAAAATTATAAGATGGTATACAACGCAGTCTTGTCACTTTAGGACGGGAGTTCATGTCGCGGGAATTATTAAGTACCTTGTGGTGGTCTAAACAAATGATTCATGAAGACATATAGAGACCTTACCACCAGTGTCAAGGCTATAGATGGGCTTAAATTTTCGCATACATATGTTAAAAATTAAATGGAGCTGTTTCTTAGATCTCATGCATGTAAATATTATAGTTAACTAGTCCAAATTCAAAAAGTAATCTTTTGCTTGTTTCTTTTTAGTAGTTTAGGTGCAAATATAAATTAATATACTTTTATTCGTCGTCTATCTAAAATTGGCAGTGGCTGCATTGTCATGTCAAGTCCGGCTTTAAGATTGTGATACACAAAGGGTGTTATATCCTAGTCCCATGATTTATTTTACCTATATAATTCACAGAAACGAAATATGTAGATGCCAGAGGTTAACTTTAAATGTTGTTAATCACCCTATATAGAAATTGACTGGAAGTGCCATGCGGGCACACTGAATTGTGATGATCTGGTCCGTTTCTTTTATAACCAACTGTACCTAATAATTGATGAGCATACACCAAAAAAGATATTCCGCAATTCTAATTTCCCTGTTTGGTTCTCAGCAGGCATAAAAAGGCTTCTCAAGCTCAAAGCCAAATACCATAAACGATACAACCGTTTTGGGAACCCTAGGGACTTTCATGCCTTTTCAATGTTAAGATCACGCGCTAAGGTTATGATAGAAAACTGTTTCAACCTTTAGATTCCTAAAATCGAAAGTGATCTTACTACAAATATAAAATCTTTTTGGAGATATGCGAAAAGCAAAAATGCAACTAATACCAAGTTGGTTGGTATGCATTTCCAAGATCGTATAGCTACGGCAGGTGACGAAATTGTGAATCTCTTTGCTCAATTTTTTGCATCAGTTCATAAAAATTTTCATAGTGCTGCAGCATTTACTGAGCCCGAATTCTTCTCACACTGTTACTGTTTAAGTCAGGTATAAGTAACGACAGATTTAGTCTTAATTAGATTAAGAAATGTAGATTTATCTAAAGGAGCTGGACCCGATGGCATCCCATACATATTCATTCGTCTTTGTGCTTCTGCACTGGTTGCTCCATTGACCTTAATATATGATAAATCTTTAAAAAAGGAATATTCCCATCTTTATGGAAGATTGCTAAGATTATTCCAACATATAAATGTGGCGATAAAAGGGATATAATTAATTACAGACCCATTAGCATATTGAATTGGTTTGCAAAGATTTTCGAATCACTTATTTACCAACATCTTTACAACCACGTCAAACCCCTCCTTAGCCCCAGACAACATGGTTTTATTGAGGGTAGATGTACTGAGTCGATTCTGCTGCAATATAGCACTTTTTTAAGTGACTAGTTCAACAGAAGGATACAGGTTGATACTATACACACAAATTTTGAGAAAGCCTTCGATCGTGTTTATCATCGGAAGCTGCTGACTAAAGTCTCACGAAGGAGCATCAATGGCAATCTTCTACGCTGGCTTATATCATATATTGAAAATCGGTCGCAGTTGGTAGTTTTGAGAGGTTATGATTCTGTGCCATATACTCCAAATTCAGGTGTCCCGCAGGGATCCAATTTAGGGCCTTTTTTATTTATAATATTTATAAATAACCTGCTTAATATAATTGAGTGTGACTGACTGTTGTTAGTGCTGACGACTGTGAGACATTGCAAAAAAAAAACCTTAGCGTAGTGTCTAAATGGTGTGATCACAATGATATGTCCCTTAACATTAATAAATGACAAGTAATTTCTTTTACAAAGAATAAATTGCCAATGCATTATAATTATTACATAAAAGGAACTGTATTATTGCGTATCAAAGCAGTCCATGACTTGGGTGTATATTACATTTCGACCTCATTTTGACCATATTTGCAATAAGGCCAATCAAATGCTTGGTTTTATAACCAGAAATGCTAGGCCATTTAGAAAAATAAAGTCTTGGATAATTCTTTATAATACACTGGTAAGGTATAGACCAATATTGTTCTTCAATATGGTTCCCTATTTACGCCGTTCACATTGAAAGAGTAGAAGCCATTCAGCGCAAGTTTGTTCGTTGCCTGTCAACGAAGTGTGGTTAACGCAAAAAAGTACACGATTATTTTGATCGTCTTCGCTTTTTTAATATGACCTTGGAGAGACGTAAATATATTAAAGATTTCTGTGCTCTTCATCGGATTGCCAATGGATCATCCGGCAGTTGCCTGATTGAAGCTCTGAAGTTTAAGGTGCCTACACGGTCTGTGCGTAAATCACAATTATTTAGTGTACCCTCCACCACAAATAATGTTTCGCTGAACAGCCCATTGAACAGGACGTGTTCATACTTTAACAATATTTGCTCTGATAATGACATGTTTAACTGTAGCATACTGTCTTTCAAGAATTCTTTGTTAAAAAATTGTGGTGAACACTAAAAAAATATTAAACTAAAGTTAGTCCCCTCTCTGCAGTCTCTATTTGTGGTGTTTGTGAATTATAATTATATTTAAGTCTATTATTTACACACATATATACAGGGCGTCCCACGGCTACCTCACACGGAGGGCAAGTATATTAAATATTGAAGTTAGGATATTTTACTGAAAGAAGACATCATTTTATTTTTAATAATAACAAGAACTGCATTCACAGATTTTAAAAAAATCACCTGCTACAACTGGGAATCAATCTCGTAAAATTAAAAAAAAAATACAACGTATTGTATGATAACCATTGCAACGGTTAATCATAAAGATTAATTTATGCTCAATAACATATATAGTATATATATAGACTGGGAAACACTATACCCTGTCTGCAAGTCGCGCTTCGCGCTCTTACATAACACAGTATGGTAGAAAGTTTCCTTGTTGACTAAGGCGTCCGTTAGACGCTTAAGAACAGCCATCGGTCAATACCATCAATCATATAAAAAGGACATCGTGACTAAAATGTCATCAGTTTCCTCAATATGCTAAATCTACCATCACCTGCGTGATGAAGCTTGGGGTGGTTTTGATACAAAATTGCGTCAAAATTAGCGTTCTTACTTTGAATTTCGGACTTTCCTTCAGTTGCATATACAAATTTATTGTTTTCCATAACCTCTTTCAGCGTGTCAAAATATCGCTAGTCAAGCTATTGTCTCGCGTCTTTAGACACGAAGCCCGCTAATAATTTACGACAGAACTAATTAAAATTTTGAACGCTAATTTTAGCGTATTTAATACCTAAGCCACCCGAAACTTATTCGCGCAGGTGTGGGAGAAACATAAGATTAGGTTAGCCATCAGTCATAACTTTACTGTCAGTAAACTGACAGTAAAACATACCATCTAATAGACGCTTAACTTAACGCTACGAAAAGCCTCAGTACAAAGTGTTGGCTCTTAGTACTCGTGGTGGTACTCGCTTCTTACTGACAAAGTGAATCTTTATTCACTAAGGCATTATATGCGAACGAGCCTATTTGGTTACACTGTAACCGACCGACGCGCTTAGGTAGAAAGTAGGTGACTTGAATAAGCTAATCGTAATACTAAGCTTTTTGCAGGTTTCATTTGACATAAAATTTGACTCGAACTTTTGGTACGCAAAAACCTAGTTACAGAAAATCCCTGAATTATATTTAGTGTTATAACGAAATTAAGTACAATATTATATCACCCGTTTCAATGACATTATGGTCAATAGGAAATTAGTTTTTTTTAACGTTAGCAATAAGCGGACAGTTTCAGAATCTTACTTCTTAGAATAAATCTTAAACAGGTTTTAAAGCATGGTTGTAGATAAAATTTAAAAACAAATAAAAAAAAATGTTTATGAATGAATGGAATCGAAGGTCAAAAGTTTGGACTTCTTTGTAATGAATCTATTTTTATTTCAAAACATTGAATCATGAAATCGGAATAAGTTTTTTTTGAGAGTTGAGAGACATATAGCTTTGATGCCAAGTAAAGTAGCGAACATACCAAGTCAAAACAAAATTTATAAAATTAAAAGAACTTACAGGTGCAGTCTTCTGGTTTAACACATTTCCTTAAATTGCTGTCATAGTAAAAACCGTTCTTGCAGTCGCATCCATTTAATGTACAACCTATACCGCATACACGATTAGGATTGACTAAATCTGTACACAACTTTTTGCAATTGGTTCCGCATCCCGATGTTGCATTATTGTCACCGCCGCAAGATGCTAGAAAATGAGAAAATATGTATGGATGGTATAGTAAATTACTCAACCTCACTTGACGGGAAGCGTGAGTGGAGTCAGCTGCTTGTAGATATATGTATTGCATTAATTACCCTCACCTAACCAACAGTATTGTTATAATTATATCTAACGAATCAGCTACTTTATGGGATTTTCCGAAGCATGGAATAGTTTGCGATATCTCAAATTTTGCTCTTTTTGTCCTATCCACCATTGCGAAAATGGTTCAACTTCTACTTTAGCATACCGAAAAGGTTCTAAGGTTACATAACCCTTGTTTGTTACTTCAATGTTTTACCTTTTTTGTGAATTATTTAAACTCTTGTTTAGTTGACTGATAAAAAAGTATCGCTACATACACCAAACCAGCTTTAACCAAAATCTATGAAGATGTTTTCGGATGGTTATTACTTGTGATTGAATCAAGTTTTTTAATTTAACATTTATCTACGATCCATTGGTTGCTGGCGCATTCGTTTGTATGTTTTTTTTTCATACAAGCGATTATCTACAATTACTAGTTATATTTTTTGCGAAAAAAAGTAGCTTTTGTGCTTTTCCGCAGTCTATACTAAAACTTGTCAAAAAAGATTCTGATTTTATTTATTTTTTAAGCATTTAACTGATAGATGTTTAAATCTAAAGAAAAGTTTACTGCCTGCTACCGCTGCCTGGACCGCGTGGTTTTTTTTCTAGTAAACTTTTCTTTAGATTTAAAAATAGATTCTGTGGTTCTAGTGTGAAAGTTTAACAGCCAGGTGGACAAACAGATACACAAACAAAGAGGCAAAGTTAGTTTCACATTAAGTACCTATATTATAAGATTAAACAAAGCGTATAATATATAAAGATTTACTCACGGCATTGGTCTGGTGAAACACATTGTCCGTCTTTATTTCTGAGTTTGCCTTTACAAATGCACCCTGGCTTGCACGTAGCCTTATCGCCACAGATGGTCTTCGGAAAACCTGTTTCATCACATGTCAAAGGGCCACATATTGCTTGAGGACAGTCTGAGTACTCTTCGCCTTCTGGGCAGTTTTCTAGAAATATAAATAAATAATTATAAATGTGTAGATTATCTTTCATATTTGACAAAATCATAATGGTCTTAAATATACTTGACCCGAGATAAAGAAAAAGAACCTTCACTAAGATATAGAAGAAGAAAGCAAGAAAGAAGGAGTTGAAACAATTTTGTGTTATGTAAAACCGCCCAGACCCGCATAGAACATTGATCTGTACGGAAATACTCATAGTATAAAATAGGCTTTTCTAAAAAATTCATCTTGCCTATTGAAAGTTTGAGTGTACCTAAGACATTTAATTTTAGTACAAAATTAGATTTTTTATTTTATTATATAAATTTTATAACTTACTTTTACAAGAGCATTCTGTATCATTGCCGTTTTCGTTAACTGAAAGTAAAACAAAAATATTATTATAACTATAAAACAAAAAAGATAAGCACCGCGAAACTATACATTTATGTATCTTCATAATAATGTTATTTATTTGGATCAATAAGAAGTAGGAAATAGTATAATTTTAAATTACGTACGGCAGCTTATAACATTGCCAGAGCTTCGTGACTAGCTGGTTATCGGGCATTCTATTCCACACTCGTTCGTTCGCACTCACACGTAGGACAGAGTTAACAAGAACCATCTTAGTTATTTGCTATTCATAATGATAAAACTGGTGCTATTTTTTTTAATGGAGTTTATGCTCAAAACTTTCGTTTGATCGAGCTTACTCATGCCCCTTGTCACATGTGCGTGAAACAGAGTACCTAGTAACCGTCTTGACTATTTGTTATTTGTTATTTCAATATAACTACGAAGCCAAAGATTTATCAACTTAATCTGGTGTCCACCCGAGTCATCTTATAATACCTGACCACATGGATTATGTCATTATGTTAACAGCATTCTTAGCAATCGTTAGTATAAATTCGAATTCATTAATCAGCCTCAAACTTTAAATTACCCAAATTTGTTCCGATGACTTATCGGCATGGAAAGCTTCTATATAATTCCATTAGGTGTATTATTTGTGGTCTTTCTAATATTACTGATATTGATACCGTCGACACGGTTATTTTTGATAACATTACCGTACCATGGAGATTTAGCCACCTATTTACTGACTAAAGGAGCACGACACTGAACAATAGCTGCAATTCTCTGTTATGTGCAGGGCCCTTTTTACTTTATTCATAGCTCGTAAGATTTTTTTTTATTTTTTTTTATTCAATAATACACACAATACACAATTAAAAGGTTAACGCCGGCAGCTGCAGTAGTATAAAACTGTGGCACAGCTGCCTGCGTCTTCCATCTTCAGGGAAAAACAAATACAAGCAAAGAAAGCATTAATGTAATTATATATATATATATATATATATATATATATATATAAAATATATATATATATAAACGAAACCAAATTAAAAATCAAAGTTCAAAGTTGTCACAATAACCCACAACATCAAAATCAGATCATTAAAAAACAATTTACACGGAGCGCATAATTTCTTCAGTCTCATCAAAGTTCAGAAGCAACAGCCAGTCTTTAAGTTTCACCTTGCATTTGTGGAGAGGTAGCGGATATATGTTTATGGCTTTTTTACTGCATTATACAGATAAGAGCTAATAATGCAGAAATGTCGTTTCGCAAAACTAGTTCTATGGGGCACCATTGGTCAAACCTTTGGTCACATTGGTCCTTTTATTGCGTTTGACTGGAATGTATTGCAAACTTTTATGTCTGCGCAGGACGCTAATCAATATAAACAGTCGTCTCACTGACAAAACAGAACATTCACAGTAGAGAAGTGAGGTACTGTATCTACGTGGTTTTCCCAGCATCACTTTTATAATGCCCTTTGAGCTCTCTCTAACGGAAGCAGTAAACTAATACCAACCCTACCCCAGCACAAAATACAGTATTGAAGTAATGATTGAACTACAGCAAAATAAACACACAACAAAATATCGCAGTCTGCTGAAGAGCGAAGCTTACGGAAAACAGGAATTAGTTTTCTAACACGACTAGTCAGATTTTGAATATGAAATTTCCAGTTAAGATTACTATCAAGAGTTATTCCAAGGAACCTTATATTTTGTGTGCGCTTCAATTCACTACAGCTACATTCACCCTGAGAAGTGCAAAGGTGCGCATTTATGGAGATGGTAGAAGGTTGGGTATCGGCACGCGGTTTAAAAGTTATGTACTGTGTTTTGTCTACATTTATTGTAAGCAAGTTTTCCCCCAGCCATCGCATAACTGTTCTGAACGCATCTTCAGCATAATGCCTAGTCTGTTCCCAATCCCTCCCCCATACAATTAAAGCTGTGTCGTCTGCGTAAGTTATAATATTACAGTTATGAAGTGATAACAAGTACAAGCTATTTATACACATATATATAAGGAAAAGTGTTGGGCCTAACACACTACCCTAGAGAACTCCGTAGGAAAGTTCAGCTTCAGAGCTGATGTATTCACCTACCTTATGGTTAAAGAATTTTATTTCTCAAAAAGAATAATACAATTCACTTACTGAGAAAAATGAAGTTTTAACGTAATGCATATAACACTTGAGCGTACACATATAATAATAAAATCAACGTGGGTAGATCGAAATTTGTATCGCAACTAACACAGTTGCACTAGGCAACCACGGATGTACAAAGAACGGTCTGTTTGGGATCGATTCTAGATACGGCATGGCATGTTTGATGTAGATTAAACATACTAGGTTTAATTTTTCCATTTATTTATGAACTTAGCAGTTAAATGCTTAAAAAATAAATTAATATTGCTTTTTATTTAGTTTAAATTTTTTATATTATGTTAACTTTTTATTAATTTACTTTAGGTAGGTAAAATAATTTATAATTTTATATAAAAAAGAACATGTTTTTTGTAGTTTATCGATATAGAACCTTAACACACTGAAAGAAAGAAAGAAGCTATTTCTCATAATACATACTGTTGTCATCGTCGGCTGAATCATCATCGGAACCGTCAGATGTAGCTTCGTTTGAACCTGTAGGACACATAACATATTGATTAGAGCAATCTACAGCGCTCTTAGGTTATTACTATTTTTCAATCACTTTCTTACTTCTATTAAACATGCTAACTTTACATGGCAGATGTTAAAAGCCTAAATATGTTTTTAGGCTGGTAGCCTTGTCATTATTTTCTAAATAATTAAAGACACAGCCAATGGTAAATATACTTAAGAGTCTATCTGCACCTTGATGCTTTGCTAAAGTTGCAAAGAATAGGTGAAGGTGTATATTTGATTTATTGATTGTAAATATGGGCAACAAAACATAATAAGAATCGACATTTTTTTGTGCTTCATTGGCCCTGCAGGAGATTGAAACCAAGACCACAGGAACACTCCGAAAATTGGTGTGCAAGACACTATTTACTTAAATTTCTTTGTTTGTAATAATATAAATTATTATTGACATAATTTATCGAATTGAAACAACTGTTGCTTGAAACGGTGTCTGACTACAATTAACTTTTCCAAGAATTATCAATTTAAATACAAACAACCTAAATGATGTAACTTAAACCTTTAGTTATTTTATATTATACTAAACTAATAAAAAAAATCCTATCAGAGCATTTTTCTTGTTCTCTTCTACCAGTGGAACTAGGTGGATTAAAACGCACAATAGAGGCAAAAATAGAGAAAAAAATCATCGGGAAGGATGATTCTGTTCTTACTAATGGCATCCTTATGATATCTTCTTGGTGTACTACATTGATAGATGATGATGATATTTGTTCAAATATCATCATCATCTATCAAAGTCGCCACTACTTGCCTTGGGGGCCTTTCCTGTGGATAGAACTGTGAGAAAAAAGAAACGGACATGTGCTGTTCACATGCGATAGAAGTGAAACCTACAAAAATGTGAACACGTAAAAGTTTTATGTGTTACCAGCAATTTTTATTTTATTTATTTTCTTATATTTTTCTTATCTCAGGGTTTTTCGAAATATTTATTTATTTTAATTACTGTACAATAATTACAAACATTGGAAAGGTAAGGATTTTTGATAAAAAAACAAGCCTATATTAATTAACAACTTAGGCACCTACCAAACGTTTAATACTTAACTATTTGGGTATTGTAAAATACTGGGCAAATTTAAATATTCTATACTTCAATTGTTACGAAAAATAAATAGTAGCTTAGTAAAAGAAAAAAGATCAATAAAAATACAAGCGAGCAACAAGCTCAGGATCGAACCACCGATCAGTTGGTGTCGACCCCAAGGCCATTACCGTTTGGCTATCCATCTCTTATGGTTATTGATAAAATTACGGATATCTATCTTGTATCAAATATTCTACCTCCGTTTGATCTAATCTCAAACCACGACGGTGCTAAAGAAGTTTTTTCTTCAAAAATTCCAATTGCGCTTTGTATTGTTTCAATTTTATTTTAGATTTTTAGGTCCCTAGATCCGTATATAGTGTTACATGTTAATACCTGCATATGCTACACTCAGGAACAGGCCGACCGAGATGCCCACTATGAGTACAAACTTCAACATTTTCACGTCTGATAAAGTATCATCAGCTCACCTGTTGCTTTTATAGCTTCGTCGGAAAATTATAGCGTTTATGAAAAAAGATTCTGCTCTTTGTTTCTTACCAGCTGTGTTAATGTTAATCTTATGAATATTGTAAGATGTTGTTTTGCGTTACTAATTGGTATAAGTATATTCATGTGGATTGAAAAGTATTTCACTTGACTTTGTAGTTCACCTACAGTGCGAAGAAATGTCGCTGCCTTTCATCATAAGAAATCATTACGGTTTCGACAGCTCAGCGATTTGTGTTTCAGTTGTCACATTCATATCCTGCCTAATTAATATCAAAAGATCAATGTTTAAAAATAAAAAAAGTTGTACAATATTTTTTTTAGCCTTTAACCCCCGGCTTTGATCGAGTGGACTACGACTTGATATAATTTAATTAACTTATTTAATATTTTATTTAAATGATAATTATAATCATCTATGATAGATTAACAGGACGCTTGGTGTCAAGAGATTGGGTACCTGCGCCTGGGCCTTAATAACCACCTGACCCGCTACTTACCCGGATTTAGGCCGGATAGATCGACATATGTCCTTACGTGATACACATCTGGGGTAAGTCTTTGGCTATCAGCCTTGACATGGCCAAGGCCTTTGATAGGGTCTGGCACAAAAGTCTTTCTCCAAGCTTATGGTGGAAAATGCTCAGTTCTGTGGATAGCCGGTTAACTTCGCAACTTATATCAATGAATATCGGTATTCCCCAGGGCTCCGCCCTATTCCACACACCCTTTCTGCTGCATATCAATAGCTTGATTCCTCTTGGGAATGTTTATTGCTATGCAGTATGGTAGTACAGTGCATGTGGAATATTTCGGACACGCAGAGGCTGGACAGATGGAAACCAAGTAAGAAGTGGAGAATTTCATTGATGCACTTAATCAGATTAAGACCACATTTCCGAACGGGGTACCGAACTTGTTTGCCTAATGAAATATATTTTATTGGAACAAAGACAGTGAATACAATGAATGTGCACTATAATAATTTCATTAGTTATAAAAACTGTGCCGCAAATTTAACGCCCATCTCTGAGAGTACATTGAAGTTCCATAACATACAAAAAAACAAACAATATGTAAAGGACATTGTTCTGCGTCCATACATTGTTAGCCTAAGAACCAACAATCATGAAATATTATTTTCTAGGTTCGAAATTGTAAGTAAATAAAACAAAGATTATTGACGGACACTTCTGAGAACTTAAATTATCAGGAAAACTTAATATTTTTTGAGGTTATGTTTAATATTAAATGAAACATAGGTCAACCTATGAACTTAGTATGAATTGAATTAATATTACAACTAATTCATTTTTATTCGATGCGATTTTAAAGAATTACTATTAGGAAAAACTTGGTAAGGTAGGAATAATGAATAAAATAAAAACTGTAGTTTTATTTCTTATTTTTTGACTATTTTTCACATAACTGTATCATATTGTATTTTATTTGTATATCACATATATAAATATGCAGCGTGAATGTGTATCAGCTGCTCTTGAATAATTTGGCATATTTGGCATCAAATCGATAAATGTAGAAATGTACCGATTATAAGATAAAATTAGTTTGTATAGAACGACTTACTAAACTTGGCGCGGTCCCCACTCAACTTGTCATGCTTAATATGAAATAAAAAGGACAGACTGATGTCAAGTTTTCAAAAAGTAAACACGAATAGCCAAGTGAAGTGCTGGCACTAGGAAGAAAGAGTGTTTTATTTGCAGCGCTGCCATAGATTATACACATAAAATGGTAGTCTCAGATTATTATTTTTACTTTTTAATATAACTTACTTAACTGGAAGTGTCCGTGACAATCTAAATACTGATAGTTATCGCAAAAAATATACTAAGAATTATCATAAATGCCAAATTGGTGTTGGTTCTTGGGCCAAATTTAACATTGTCCTTTATATTACAGAATAATTTAAATTTAATTTAACATACTTAAATTAACAAATCATTTAAATGTGAGTATTTTATGCGTGTGTGCATGGGTACACGTATGTGTGTGTGTGTGCATGTGTGTGGTTGTGTGGGATTCTGGGTGTGCAACTTAATGGAATAAGCCTGAGGTCTTCTATCTGCTCATAAGTAAGTGAATCAAGTACCTTTTTATACAATTTTAGGCTTAGGAATCCATACTGTTGACTCAACACACCAAGGCTGCAGGTAAGGCGTATATAGCTCTTTCCAATCGGAGAAAGAAACTCTTAGCAGCATTCCTCAAGCGGAAATGCCGTTGGTTAAGATAGTGTGTACTGTAGACGAACTTTAGTATACTAAAATCAGCGTAAGTTCGTAAATTTCTGAACACAAAAAATAGTTTTCTTACTCTTGGGACGAGGAGATCGGGTTGATCGTCCCAAGAAAAAGTGCTATCTATTAACACGCCAAGATATTTTGTGTTGTGTGTTCTAGTAATATTAGGACAGACACAGACTTAGCCCATTGTCCTGTTCTATCTGTTTGCAATCAACTTAAAAGAAGACTCCGGCTGGGATGCAACTCTGGGAGCGCAAGTAATATATTTAGTTTTCTGAGTATTAAGGGTAAGCAAATTTGAATTTAGCCACTTCAGAACTATGTTTGGAGCAGCTTCCGCGCATGAACGCGCTTCCATCCAGCTAGTACCATGAGCTATTTTAGCAGTATCATCTGCATATGTGATAATTTTGGAGTTGTTTAATGACATCATACATAGGTCGTGAATGCACACCAAAAACAGGATAGGCACGAGGACACTACCCTGTGGAACGCCGAAAGTGAGTGATACCTCTTTACCAATAAAGTTGTCAATCTAGTCAAGACGTGGGCGAGCCGAAGGATCTTTTAAAAATACAATTTATTTTTAATGGAGACGTTTATTCGTTCCAACTGTCAGCTTAAGACTAACTATGAACTAACTTACAAAAGCTAAGTCACCATGTTGTTGACAGCCCGAGTTGCGCTTATCAGTTTCCGTCTGTCAATTCAGCGTCTGGCTTCTAGAAAATGTTACTCCAGGTTATGGTGGGATCAACATCGCCAGGCATGTTATGATAACTTGACGTTCCGGTTGAGTGAACAGACGTAACTCTTCCCTCCTTAAGATCGAAGTTCGCTTCTTGAGGGGAACTTCGATTAAATAATTTAAACAATTTCAAACGATACTTATGAACTAGGGAACGGAGCAATAGAAAAATTATAAGATAAACAGTCGGTGTCCAAACGCTTACACTGTTCACTTCAATAATTGTTTTTTCACATCTACTTCTTTCACTTACACTCTTCTTCATGGCGAATGATAGGAGTTTCAAGTCTTGTAGGTCAACGCCTTTCAGGTCCAGGGTTTCTGCATCTGGTTTTTAATCAGACAAGTATACTGCAGGTAAGTTCATTATTGGAAATTTCACATACGTTATATTTTCTGTATTTATCTGATACATTTTCAGGGTTATGTCTGAAATCTTCTCTTCACACGGATCATCCAGGGTGAGTATAAAGGTACCTTGAACCTTTTGATGGGATATTTCTCCAATGCAATTACTGGTGAGCAATTCCTCATCTTTACTGTAGAGAATCCATCTGTTGGGTTGTAAGAACTGAATTTTAACCTTTTCTATGATGACTGGAACCTGGATTCATGACGTCACGTTCTCAACATACTCGTATGTTATCAGATCATTAATGCAGGGATCCTGAGCGAATTGGTGAGTTACATCACTGGGGCAGAGGAAGCTGTGCTCGTCGATTTCTCGGAATGGTTGTTCCAGCAGTCTGATCTTCGACCCTTTCATCAGAAGGTATATAGGTAGATATAGGATATTTGGGTATGATAACGACGGTGGATTCACGGGATAAAACAGGAATGGGAATCAATTTATAATAGATATAAGTGTCTTATTTAATTAATGGTATTTGCAGAAGGTAAGTAATCTGACTTTCCTTAAAATAGGCTTTTATTGTAATGCTTTGTTCTATCTTTATTAAATTTGCTATGCCAGGGGTATAAACTAACTTTTCTATTTTATCGACGTTTTCTTAAACGTTTAAAAGTTTTAAAAGATTCTATAACACACTGATGAATATACATAATCTACTTAGCGCGAAACTAGTTAGTATATATTACCTAAAAGTTGAGGCGTAGTATATTAAATGTACTTATAATCTGTACTTCAATGTGTTCTTTTCGTAAATTTTTACTTAAATTTTTAGCTACATCTACAATTTCTTTGTTTAATTCTATAAGGTTGCCATTTTACTGTAATGTGGAGTTAGTTAGAACTTGTTCAGTTTCAGTGATCAACGTCAATTTTCTGTTGTTTGATTTTTGCTTTGATATTACATCTTTTATTAATTTACCGTATCTTATGGCATCATCATGATCGAGATTTCCTGTAATTATCTTAATTATTGATTCAAGTGGATCTATTAAACTGCGTTTGACTTTAATGGATGGCACAATTTGTTGAAACTTATAGAATGTCAATGTTTTCGTATATTCTACTAGTTTTCTTATATCTATAAAATTATTGTGCGTTAAACGTTGTGCTAAATTTAACTAACTTATCTAATTTCTAACTTCAGGTCTTCTCTAATAGGCGTGAAGTCCAATACCTTAGCGATTACCCATTTGTCTTTGCTAAGCACGGCAACTCCATTTCTTAGGGGCAAGATTCCGGGATTCCTATTCAATTCTTGCAGTTGAAGTGCCTGGAGTTGGGTCGTCGTAGACGCTACCAGGAGGACGAGGACGTGCCTGTGGAGGACGTTTAACATTCTTTATTGGGACCTTAGTATCGCGGTTTTTTATTTGAATGGGAACTATATTCCTAGTAGCCCTAGTAACTTTAGATTTATCATAGCGGGCCTTATCTTTGAAACTTCGCCTATCGGTATCTTTAGCAAAGATTATATCACCAGGTTTTATATTAAATTCAGTCTCTCCACCTTTTTTCTCTATTATTTTCTGCTTTATTTTAATTGTTTGATCGGCTATGTGTTAGTACAAG